TGTATGACGTCACCATTTCAACCATCAACAAACGCATGGAACTAAAACAAATCTTAATATAAAGGAGAAGCTGGAGAGGTAACGAAATTACCCACGATGTCGGAATATACCGCGTTTACCCTACTTATAGGACTCCAAAATGAACTTGAGGGAGAGTCTAAAAAACTCTCTGCTTTTTTACTATGCGTATGGCCATATATCTTGCAAACAAAGGCAAAACGAAAGAATTTTAAACATCACTGTTGCTGAGGTGAGAGGTTAGATAATTAAATACTAAGTTTTGTTCAAATCTGTTCAGTACTTTGGAAAAAATTCTTGATTACTGTGAATTTGAGCATGTATTGCATGTATTTAAATTACAAATGAAGGTGAAATAAAAAAAAACTTGCAAACAAAGGCACAATCAAAAAAATTTTCACAAGCTAAACATTACCGTTAGATAGTTAGGATTGTAAATTCTAAATTTTTTTCAATTCTCTTTAGTAGTTTGGAAGAAATTACTAGATCACTGTGAATTTTGGTCAATATTGCCATATAACTATGGCAAAAAAAAAATGGCAAAATTCAAACAATTTTCACAAGCAAAATATTACTGTTAGGTCCTAATGAATACATGTTATGTGTACCAAGTTTCATCAAGTTAAGTTCATCAGTTTGAGAGATATTCCTAGATCATTGGATTTGGAAATTGGCCGTGAGGCTGGCTCCGAGTCTGGCCATTAATTTGTCCAAGGCGTAAGCCCAGGAGAGGTTACAAAAAACAAATTTGGGTGAAAAAACCATTGCTGGGACTGGGAGTCATGTGCTGCACGTGTTGTGTGCTGCACGTGTTGTGTGCAAATCGTCAAACAAACTTTTGAACTTCTGACATTGACTTCGGACTACTGCCCCCCATATTGCACCCCTACCACCCCCAAAATCTTTCCACCACCCCTAGAGGGGCAATATTGCCCACTTTGGGAACCAGTATGACTAAATGACTATGAACCACTGCTTTATAGCATAGCATAGTAATGTTGGTGCTGTGCTGAACTAAGCTGAAGAATACCTAGGTCTGATGTGTCATGTGGGCATGTGGCCTGTTGCTTTTTCATGTAATTTTGGTGACTTGTCCACAGGAGATCTAAAAACAGGTCCCTTGACTCAGTTGACTGGATTTTTTCCAAACTGTTGATAGTTTAAAATACTCAAATATCTAGGTTGCTAGAAAGTAGAGGCTAGAGTCACTAGACTTCCATCAGGTTTGATATGGTGCTACTGCTACCTAGGCAAATCAAGTCTGAACATATATTGCTCCATAGCTTTATCTAATCTGTTCTTGAAACTTGAAAGCATTTGTACTTGGAGCCTCAACAATGCATAGGGGCAAACCAGAGATTTTATAGAATCAGTTCATTTTATATTTCCTCATTTACTCAATATTTAAACCAATTTCTTATGTATGATAATGCTATCTGCTGGGATCCATGATACTTGATACCTTACTTGTCTACTTGAAGTACTCAAATTGAACATGAAGGATAGTGTAAAAAAACTCTTTGCTTTGCCACTATGCAACAATGTAATTAGAGAGGCTGTTCCATATGTTGTTGATTTGAAACTAGGAGAAATGTTGCAGTTTAAAATTGTGTTGCACCATTGTGGCAGTTGCAACTTGCAATGCATTTTTTAGCTTATAGTTGTGGTCCCTGCCCCAGTGGTATTGGTTCTTGTTTCTAATTATTTTCTAGTAATCCTTCTGGGATTATAAAACCAGACAAGTCACCACCAAGTGTGGAAAAGATCTCCCTTTAGGGCCATGGAAAGAAGCTCAAGTAACACCATTGTTCAAAAAAGGTGACAAAAGCAGCCCCGGCAACTATCGCCCTGTCAGTCTGACAAGTGTTGTTTGTAAGCTGATGGAATCTGTTGTGAGGGATAGGATTATCTTTCAGATTTGAAATGCCTAGCTCCTTATCGAACCCGGTGGAAGTCTAGTAGCTACTTCAAACTATCGCCAGTCATGAAAAGATCCGATCAAATGATACGAGTTTAGATCTCTATGAACAAGGCACGAAAAGGAAAAGAATCGGCGACAGGCCACATCAGGCCTACATTTCAGCGCCAACATCATTATGTTATGTTATGTTATGTTATGACTGGAGCTTTCCCGCCCACTGAGCAGAAAGTGTGTGAGGTATAGCAAGATCTTTGGCAATGCATCAGCAGCAAAATTTACACCTTCAAAAGTTCTTGCTAAACACATTTGGATTGAAATTATTGCATGGATATTCACCAGTCTTCAGCCAACTATTTAGAAAATAATTGAAAATCAGAAAGACCGCAAGCGGCGGATGCAGTGAATAACAAGAACAATAATAATTCTAGAACTAAGTAACGGTTGCTAGAACATAGGGTTCACAATAGCTTTGTTGATATGAGCGCAGCACCATCTCTTGGCGCTCCGGGCTGCCCACTGTGCAGAAAGTGGGTGAATATCAAAAGATATTTGGCGATGCATCTGCAGCAAAGTTTATGCCTTCTGAAGATCTTGCCGACACATTTGGATTGAAATTATTGCATATGTCATTTGAGGAAGAATTTTGAAATTACTGGAAATCTGAAAGACTGGAAGCGCACACAGTAAGGTTTCCAGTATGCCAGAAGGATCAGGATGCAGTGAAGCTTGTCCAGAAATCAGTTACTTTGTGTGCAAGTATTGCGGTGCATGGATAGCAAGGGATATACTATCAAAGTTGTTTGCAGCACTTTCTTATTAAAAATTACCTGGCAATGGATCTTGAAAATGGCCGGCAACGCTTTGAGCTATAAATCCATATACCTATTGGTGATGCACCCTGGTTTCCTGCCATTTCCAGAACTGCGAGATTCCCGCCAGATGAATCACCTCCTACCTAATTGTTAACAAAAGCACACAATCAGGCTGCAAGTTTCCTAATGTATTAAAAATTCATCACCTGGATCCGTAAAATTTCAGAAATGGGTAAGAAAATTCTAATCCTGGTCACCACTCTTAAAATCAATTAACAAATCTCAAAAATGGATTTGGATAAGAACTTTGAAAAGTTGAAAGTAGAGTTTTTAAACTTTTAACCTTGTATGGTTTGGCTGCAGCCTGCAGGTGCAGCTGCTCACTAGTACTAGTGCAATAGCCAATTATAGTGCACACTGGCCACTCACCACTGCACAGCACTTGTATTGTATGTTGTACTAAATTGTACAGTTGTATCACTTGTATGTTGTATCTTGTACTCAGTACTCACTTGTACTGTTGTACACATAGTGGAATTCTATCAAGGGAGTTACTTTTGGCGGTCTGCCTCTCGGTTGCAGTCTCAAGCTGTTTGCCTCAAACCATTTCTCCGGTGGTCTAAACCTGTCTGACAGCCCCTTGCAATGGTCTAAACTTGGTGCACTTACATTCCCTGCTCAGAATAAACTATCTAAACAAATTCCAGCTCCCTACCCTGCATTCTACAGTTGTATTTACCACATTGTTGGGGGTCAGCCCCTCTAAAGGTCAACGGTCCGGCCGGTATAGTACCAGCACGTGAAGCCAAGCAAAACAAACTCAGGGAAACAAACGGAGGAAGAACCAAGCAAACATGTATTAAATATAATCAGTGGTACATGAAGGTGAAAAATTAGTTGGTTAGTAATGAGACAGCCCAGGGCTATGAGTGATGTGGTGAACCTAGCATGAGAAAATACACAGCCAGCAGCCCAAACTGGTTTGAACAGCAAAGAACAAACAATGATACATGGTAAATAAACTAAACTGGGCCAGAATAATGATCTGTAGCATAAATCAAATCAAGAATAGTGAAACCAAGGAATCAAGGGCTCAAAATGGGCCCTGGGTCAGGCCTGGTCCATCAAGTGGCGTCCGCACCAAAGAAACAAGACGGCGGTGGTCTTACTTGTAAGTAGCAGTGGGGTAGACTCAACTGGCATGTTAGGGCAGATCTGACATGAGTTGCTGGACAGGACTTAAAGAGGCATTCACGGTGGCCTCTAGTGTCAGCTCGAGTAGCTGAAGAGCAGCCAAGACTCGACTGCAATGTGGCTCAGTGAGCCCAAAGCTTGCCTGTCACTTGTCCAGAACTGGCATCAAACTAGCTCAGAACTTGCCGGAATGCGCTCCAAATTGGCCCAGGTTATGCCCCACATTGGCCGCTCTGCAAAAGTGCAGGAACAAGAACACATAAAACCTATCCAACAATAACACTTGGAAGTTGAAACACATTAGTACACTAGGAACACATATGAACAAATTGATCTACCTAATGCAAAACTGTAAAACAACTTTAAGGGATGATTGATTATATGTACAAACATTTACTGATAACATTCAATAATTAAAATTTAGGACTGAGATGCATGGGGAGAGTATTCCTCTTACTCACCTATTTAAGAGCCATGATATTCATATCAGGTCAGTGATGAGTCAGCATGGCAGTAAATGACCAGGAAGCAGGTTTGTTTATAGCAGGTTAATCAGCACGAAATAGGAGCAGATCAGTATTGCACTTCACTCAACAAGTCAGACTGTCAATGAATGTGATTTTACACTAATCTGAATTTATCTGGCTGTCGCTCAAGTAATCACACACTGGGACAATAGAAAGAGAGGATTAATACAAGACACTTATAACAATTACTAAATAGTTTATATACCAGCATGTGGCCCCTAACAACATAATTTAGTTGAAGCTGTTCCATAATTTTGTAGTAATACTGCAAGCCTCAAGCCCTCAACTAGGTAAAAGTTTTCGATTTGTTGCAATGTTTATGCAATTGCAGTTAAATTATATAATCTAGGTCCTGTTATTTCCTTCCCTTAAATATTTAAAATATATTTTTTTATCTTTTTTACATTGTTTCTAGTCATTGGTTATTTTTGTTTTGATTGCATATAACATAGGTAAGTCTTTCATTCTTAAATTTATATAAAAGAGTGGAATTTGAAAGTGAATGGAATAATAATGATAATGAATACATTTTAATAATTACTATGTTTTGATATATATGTACAGTAATAGTTTCTTCATAAAAAATGGCTGCTCTTGGAAAACTTCTGCTCTTTGACAATCCAGGATTATATTCCCATCAAAATTTCAAATGTGTAAGAATTACCCAACCTCAACCTGTCATTAAGATGTGATATTGCAATGATTATAATTTTAACTATCTAATCCAACTTAGTCATGATAGATCATGACTGTTCTACAGTGCTGCTCAGCAGAAATTTTGTATTTGTAGCATCTTTATCAGAACTCAACAGAAAATGGTGGCTGCATTCCCTGTAGTCAAATTGGGAGCATTGCTTGTAAAGCAAGTTAGCAAACCTTTAGCTAGTTTTGTGAAGAAAAGAGCAGTGAACAATGCATTCTTCAGGAATTATATATGTGTGCCTCCAGCTCAATGTAAGTACCTATTGATTGCCATCTGGGCTTAAAGAACATGCTTAGTGTATATATTAAGGACATGCTTATTTCCACTGCCATGAAGTTTTTTTTCTTTTCTGCAATTTATGAGTTTGTTACTGTGATTTATAAACATTTTGTTAATATAAACATAAAATGATCCAAAATGTAGTCTCTACTTACTAAAAATAAGTGATAAGAAATTAAGCAAAAACTACACAAGGGTTGCAGAGAAACGCCTATATGTGCATATAAAAATATTGCTGGAGACATTAAAATCTCCTTCCAATTATGGCAACTTTTATATTTGATCCATTAAAGAACTCATCTGGCAAAATTTGGACCAAAGATCCATCTAAATGAAAAATTGTGAACATCCAAGTTCATTAAAAAATTTTCATCTTGATTAAAATATGCCACGAAAAGCATTAAAATTTGTTAGTGTCTAAAATGTGTTATCTCTTACAATAGTTTGTTCTCTATATTTTTGTGAAGAAATAATATACTCTGGAAAAACTTGATAATCAGCACTGCTTTTTAGCGCATTTCCTCATTTATGGAAAAAATGCTCTCTCGATGAGGAAATGCACTCTCTGTCACTCACTGCAGTGAGTTCTATTTTTTCCATTTTTTTCAAATGCATGCTTTAACTAAATTTTCTTGTTCAGTTTACAACTGGTGTGATGTGCGCATGAAGATGTACCTAAGCAACATCATTCGCACTGAAGACAGTGTACCTATTCCCAAGCTTACTGAGCAAGCTGCTATAGAACTTGGAGCCAATTTATTAGGTAAGAAAAATCTACAGATTTATTCTATGTTCAATCCTTTTTTTTGTAGATGCTGTAACTGAGCTTTGCATAGAAATTATTTTTATTTAGGAATTTGATGTCTGGAGCAGTTATAGTTTTTTTAATTTTTTTTAATTATTCAAGTCCTTAATATAATGTTTTGAGTATGAGATTAGGCAAGTTAGCTAAAAAAACAGATGTGGAAGATCTTGTCTGCCACTTTAAAGTGAACCAATGATGAGACAAATTAAGTGTATATTTAAATTTTTTGTTGATAATTAAATAAATGCATGAATATTTAATTTGAGCAATTAATTTCTAAGGGACTCTGAATATTCTATATAGATGTCTTGAAATGATTTTTGAAAGAAAATTGTATGAAGTTCCACACATTTGATTGGAAAAGTATTGAAAAAATTGGTTACAAACGTTTGTTTAGTTATGGGAAATTGAATGTAAAAACTGCTTGAAGTACTTTTTAAAATGTGTAGCTACAACTAATGGCACAAGTGCAACAATTGAAATGTCAGAGTTAAATGTTTACATTTAATTTACAGATTGTTCTGGTAGCATACAGTGGTTTACTGGAAGTCCTGGTCCAAATGATCTGAATTATTTCACATGCTAAGACATGAATTTTAAACTATAATTATAAATGCCTGATATAGGTTGCTTCTATTTCGGTCATATTTTCTTCTCTTGTTTGCTTCTACTGAGTCCAGATTTTTAATTAGGCTGCTTTTATTGAGTCCAGAGTTTTAACTGGGTTGCTTTTATTGAGTATAGATTTTTTAAGTCCAGATTTTTAATTAGGTTGCTTTTATTGAGTCTAGATTTTTTGCTAGGTGGTAACAAATTTCAATTTTATGCAATGTTGGTGAGAAATTTGGAACCATGAGAATATGTAATACCCAAGTTGTTGTGGTAACAGACCACAGTAATTGAACTCTTGGTTAAATGGGTATCTGTGTGACTTAATTTATTGCTGTAATTGAAACCTAATTCTGTTCAAAAAAGGTCTGTCATTGACCTTTTTCATGCAATCTAATTTGATTACTTTTACTTGGATTACTGTATCAATCCAAGGTTTGAGATTTGATATTTATTGCGGTATAAGTCATATTTTATATTCCTGCCCTAGATTCTGCTGATGTATTGTATATTTTAGGTGAATTTGTCATCATTGCGGTGGCATCATCAATCCTGCTATGGGAGTACAACAGACAACAAGGCAAAGAAGAGATTAGGGAACGAAAAGAAACGGAATTTGTCAACCAGCTGGAGCAGCGCATCACTGATCTGGCATTTGAAAATGCCGAACTTGACGCTAAAATAAGGGAGCTCACCAGACTCGTCTACAGCACACCTACCATCATGGTGATTAGTACTTACTAACCCTTGGCTTCATCCCTCCTATTGTGGTATATTCAAGCACTTGCATTTAATGGGTCTCACTACTGTCTTTCAACATTTTTATTAGGAAAATTTTAATATGTCTATGCACCAACGACCTTCAGTTGTTTTTCTAATGTCTCTCAACATTTTTATTAGGAAAATTGTAATATGTCTATGCACCAACGACCTTCAATTGTTTCACTAATGTCTCTCAACATTTTTATTAGGAAAATTTTAATATGTCTATTAACCAATGCCCTTCAATTGTTTCACTAATGTCTCTCAACATTTTTATTAGGAAAATTTTAATATGTCTATTAACCAATGACCTTCAATTGTTTCACTAATGTCTCTCAACATTTTTATTATGAAAATTTGAATATGTTTATGAACCAATAACCTTCAATTGTTTCAAGGCGATTTACATGATTGTTCAAATAATGCTTTTGCAAATAGCTTTATTTTAATGTTATATTATTTACTTTACAATCAGGCCAACCACACGAAGGCTCTCAGGGAGAGCAGTTCTGTTGAGGCTGACAGCGACTCTGCTATCAACAAGGCCGTGAAGGAAGCACAAACTAAGATTAGTCCCAGAATCTAAATCTTATGCAGCTAGTCATTGCATTTACTTTGGTGTATGTATGTGTTGGAATAGTACAACTCCTTGTTGAAATGTACTGAAATAGTACAACTCCTTCCTAATGTCAAAACTTTTACCATGAAAGGACTAAACTCACCGACTCCTTTTGTTGTGGATGTTTTGTTTTGTCTGTTGTGCTGGTCACTACAAAAACATTGGATCGGACAGAATTGCCATTAAAAAATATCCATCGATCTTATTTACGAATATTTCTCCATCAAATTAATTGTCATTGATCTCTGTCACTATTAAAACAATATTAATCTCGAGTGAAATTCTATTTTAAATGCGCTCATCTAAAAATGCCGTCAAATCCTTTCAGGAGTATCAAGGCTTGTCGACTGCTTAGGATTAAAACGAACGTAAAGAATGAACTCTAATTCGTTAATCATAATAAACCCCATTATGATCGTCTCAAGTCAATTAGCTTGCAGCCCACAATGCAGCTCTGTGAAGTCGTCTCCATTTAAACGTTATTTTCGTTGCCTTCCAAGTATCTATTAATCAACACAACTGAAAAGTAACCGAATTATGTCGCGGTTTTGAACTTTTTGCTCCACGAGGTGGAATTCTAGTACAACGTTTCATGAAGCAGCAACTGGCGCTGGCTGCATTTGGACACAACTGTTTGCATGCCTTCAAAAGATGAACATTATTGAACAACCGATGAATTTTTAGAAATATTGAATACCGTTTATAATGAATAGCAAAATAAATGTGAATATTAAAGAATTCGCATCATACAGGTTTTAGCATGGTATGGTCGTTATTTATTGAGATAAGCAGGATTATGATAGTTTTAATGATGAGCGTGAGTGAAGGATAACATTTTTTGTGAATGAAGAATCACCACTTGGATGTAGTAGATGTGTACACTATGATGTCGGGTGGAAGCATTTGCTTGCATTGCGATTAACTTTGAGAAATGTGAGAATCTTTTTTGTGTTCGTTACGGTAACTCTGTTGATTATTTTTTAATTGAATATTGGTTTAATTTTATTTTTCAGCTTTTTGACTTCAACTGTGTTTCTTGGGAAACAGCCACGTATTCTAGTTATAACAAAATCTTTTTTCAAAAATTAATTGTATGTCATCGAAAAAAAATTACACGGGTGAGACTTGTATATTTTCAATTGGTCGACATTTATCGTCTTAAGTCCGCGCCTGGGTCTCTTTCAGTCCCTGGCTTGGTGAGTTGATAGGTTGAAGAGCGTCGTTACTGCAGGGAATTCATCCTTTATTTGCTGGTCATAGGTGGTCGAGAAATGAGCTTTGAGGAAATTGCTAAGATTAGTAGCGAGAATTTGTAAGATAATGTACAGTATATACGTTACGAATGAGTTCTTTTATTGCAATACAATCGCCCCCATCATACGTTACGATTATTCCTTTTGCAATATTTAAGTAAGCATCGTTATTTAAATTGACAGTTTCCAATTTTTTCGTGAACTGTAAACGATTTATTTGTGGCCGTACTATTAAATCTTGCTTAAATTAAAGTTTAATGTATTAAATCTTGCTAAAGTTTAAAATTTGAAATATTAAATCTTGCTTATTAATTAAAGTAAACGTAGCGGCTGAAAACTCGTCTCTGATTGGTCTGAATAACGTGATAAAGCCGCCTGTGATTGGCGGACGGAGTTATGAACTCTTGTGACGGCACGGCCTCAGATCCGCTCGTTGGCAGTTCTAAGTAGCGTTCTATTAATTGCGACTAGCAATTAATGGAATGAATTAATGGAAGCATTCTATTAATTGCGAATGCCTGACGTCGCCCCAGCTCATACATGAAAGCGTGTGCGGCCGCAATGGTTGATATCTTGTGACACGGACACTGCTAATTACAACACGCGCTACAAAACTAATAATTAAAATAAATGATTCCGCACTCGACGATTACTGTAAAATTACCGTGCGATTTCGATCACTGGGCCAACCTTAAAATAATCTCCGTATTATATGCTGTAAAAATGCACGCTTCCCGAATTATTGCACATATTTCACAAGTAACAAAACATTTCTACGCTTCAACTTCTCTGCAGGAGAAAAAAAAATTCCCATTTGGAATGCATTTTCATTTCTACAAAAACTTTCCTCAACATTCACACCATGTTAACACGAAAGAAATCACGTTACAAATGCAAGCTCATAATGTTGCTCATACACGTTCGTATAGCCAAGACTATTAATAAAAATATCTAAGTTAATGAAATAGAGATCGTATTGCACACATATGGCGTTCACGAAGCATGGTTCACAAGGGAAGTTTATGCAACTAAGATCCGTCTCGTGTGGACGTCTGGGCGGCCTCTGTCTTCACGTTCTGATGGTGAGTCAAGAAGGCAACGTTGGCCGCCTTCAGGAGTGGCGTGGCGCCTCGTACACCAACACAGCTGCCTCTCTGCGTCGCTGGTGCTACTGCACACACAAAATAATTCAGCGTTATTTATTGCTTAACTCAGAATCTGATACCAAAAGCGAATTCAATTCGAAAAAATGTATGTTTTGTAGCTGATAATTCTAATTCACTATTGAGGCACAAATAGGCACCAAACCTGGGAAATACTGAAATTACCAAATTTCTGAAAGCAATGACGACTCATTGTCCAGTTTAATCAATAGGAGAGAGCAAAACGATTTCGATGCATACGTCACGAAATTGTGACTTATGCGTGTTATTTTTATCAGCTGTAGGGCAAAATTTGAACTTATATTGTCCTGTAACTTAAATTGTTTATCTTGCCTCACATCACACAACTTACAATAATTATAATTAAAATAATGGCCGAACTCACCGTGCGGAAATACATGTGTACTAAAGGCACAGCCTTCAGCCTGACAGCAGTTGTTGACAGCCTCCTGCTGTTCCGAAGACTTTGGACTTGTCTTCGTAGGACGTTGTGGGTCACTCGTAAGGGATAAAGATGACACTGTGCTGTGTAGTCTCAAGGCACCCGCGCTATGACACGCATTATAATTAAGAGCTGCAGCACTGTCGGCCAGAGGAAAAGACTCGCTAGTCTGGCAAGCGAGCTCTGCGAGGCTGGCTGAACGAGAGGTGTTCACTAAAGAGCTATTTGGAGTGTGAACGTTGTGCGGTACAGAGACAGTATTTACAGGTTGACCACTGCTGGTAAAGGCAGCCATACAGTGGCTATTGAAGTGCCGCAAGTATGAGGGTGCTTGTAAGTTATGTTGTGAGGCCGGAGTGCTGTGTTGTGAGCTGCAACAATGGCAATGACTGTGTGATGGGTGGAGAGATGATGATGATGAATGCGACTGATGCTGTACTGTGTGGTGAGGTAGAGGCTGCTGTGAAGTGAACGATGAGCTGTGATGCAGAGATGGACTGGGCAGTAGCTGCTGGTGATTTACAGCTCCAGGAAAGCCTGTCAATATGAGAAGTACTGTTGAAAATTACGTTAATTGTATTGCAATAGTCTGAATACTAAATAAACAGTAACAGTGTCTCAATTTAATGTTAATTAATTATTTCATCTGAACATAATTTCAAACTATTATGCTCATGAGGAAGTATAATAAAATGTATAAACTCGCATGACTATACCCAATATAATCATCAAGACGCCGAGTAAAACGAATAAACTAGTACCATACTGAATTAAATGAGAGCGTCCTCTCGCACTGTTCGTTGAACCAAGGCAGGTTGGAAAAATATGCCTAGAAGGCTCTTCTGTATATGCTTCTCAACGTAATGGCCGTGCTCGCTGATGTACATCTTCAGCAAAATTAATATAGCCCTAAGGCCAAATAGGTGGTAGATAACGAACATTTACCGCCGCCAAAACAAATACATTGTACAACTCAAGCAAGCAGGCATACATCAGATCGTTCGAAATAAAGCCATTTATGAGACTGAGAATAAGTAATGAAGACCTGAAGGAGGAGGAGGCTGAGGGGAGGGCGAGACGCAAGGGGTGGTGCCGTGAGAGTAGCTCAACTCGCAGGTCTCCAGCAAGCGCAGTAGCTCGCCAGCATCAGGACTGCCATCTTCGTTCACTGCCCATCAAACAATATCACATTACCAAGAAAAATGCAGGCTGTACGATGTAAATAACATATAAAGATAAGATTTCGCGCCAAAAAAGATTCTTTTAAAGTCTCGATTATATTCTCCCGTGACCGTGTGGAAACTTCACCATTTCATGAAATAGTCGGCAAATTATTTTTACAACTTGACTATACCCATTTTTGTTTATAAAATAATATAAAGTAGGAATAGAGGAAAAAACCAACGCTGAGGTTTGCTGATGATGTCGAGGGCGGTGGTGAGGTCCCACATTTGAATGGCGCCCGACGTGTGTCCCGTGAAGAGGTAGCGGCGAGGGCGCGTGCTGCCGATACGGCCATCGCACTCGTGCACGCAGAAGCTGCTGATGCTGGACCCGTCCACGCTCTTCACCAGGCACACCCTGCAACATCGGGGATAATGTGACATGTTAAAATGTTAATGTTACATGTTCACCAGGTTCACCCTGCAACATCGGGGATAATGTGACATGTTAAAATGTTAATGTTACAATGTTACATGTTCACCAGGCACACCCTGCAACATCGGGGACAATGCTACATGTGCATTACAAAACGTAATCTTCTATTACATTAGATCTTCTGTACCGCGTGCAACAGTGGCATAACCGCTGAAGGGTGAAGCAGAAGCTTTAATGGTTTAAGCGAAGCGTACACCACAAGGAAATATGAAAGGAGTGGTCAGGGGAATCAATTTCAAAGAATGAACCCTCAATTAACTTATTAGTTAGTTAGTTTAGTGGCCAAATGTTTACTAGCGCTTCAGCTATTTAGCTATCTCGCACCGAAAGTCAAGATGAACATCACCATAGAGGTGGAAGGTCTCAATTATTCATCACCCACAAGGGGCGGAAGGTCTCAGATGTCCAGCCCGCTGAAGCTGGCTCGAAAGAAGCAGCGTTAGCATCTCAAAGAGACGAAGTGACAAGGAGGGACAGGTGAAAAGCAACAGAAACGAAGACACTCGAACAAGAGGTCGCTTACACGGGACGTCGGCCGCCCGCACGAGAGAGACAGAAGGGAAATGTAAGGAATCCTACCTACATAATAACTTAACCCCACAACTGAGACCAACGGTCAGACACCGCGAGCTCAGCGGTGGGGCGCTCAGGAACAATCCCCCTAGGAACGCGAAATCCCTTAGGACTTCTGACGAGCACAGACACGCGTCAGAAGTCCCCCCTGAGGGGAATTAACTTATTAAATGACGCGAAAAAATACCTACAAAACTAATGGTACAATCTTCATCAACATGACATTTCCAAAGACAGTACCTTGGCCACAGCTGTAATCGCAACCATTGCGGGTTGTGGTTAGAAAACCAAACGTACGGTAAAAAAATATGTGAACTATTTTTTTATAATTTAATTGCTTGGCATCAGCCTAATCCTGTGAAACTTTGCCGGACATTTTTGTCCAACTTTAGGATTGCTAGGGTTTTCAGACCCAGAAAACCAACCTCTTCCCCTTGCTGGCGAGCCTGACGATGAGCTGGTCGGTCTCCGGCACCACCTTCTGTATGAAGACTTGCTCGTCGTCCTGCTCTCCGTAGGGACCTGCAAACACAATAAAAGTTGCATAGCATATACAATAAAGCCTTAAACATATCATAAAAGGCACGACTTTATACAGAAATATATCTTATTTAAACAGGAAACATTAGCAGAACTAACACGTTAACCCCTAATAATTTTCAAGTAGAGGTCTATGTAACAAATGCAATATCAAACAATTCAATCGCGTATTTTCACGAACAAATTTCAATATTCTCAAGGGCTTTCTGTACATGGCAACGAATGAGAGCTGCCATACCAATCTGGTTAGCATGGGGCAGACAGAGCGCAGGATGATCTGCCTCCTCGAGAGTGAGGATCTTGTAGGAGGAGAGGGGCGTGGAGCCAGGCTGGGTGCTGATCATGCCTCTGAAGCGCATCACAGACCACGTACGTACGTGGTTATATTCGCTGCACACGCTGATGAGCAGCTTCTCGCTCAGACGCACCTGTAGGTACATTGTACAGTTAGTAGTCTTATAACAAAAAATGCAACAAAACAGGGTAGTTACGGGGCACTTATTTATACAGTAATTGGTGCAATATTACAATTCACTTACACAGAGTGGTAATTGCTACGTAATAACACATATAAGGTAATGATACAAAGGCATTAAGGTGCACTAATTTATACAGTGATTAGTGTCATGAGCAGCTTCTCGCTCAGGCGCACCTGTGGGTATATCGTAAAGTTAGTAGTCTTATAACAAACAATGCAACAAAAAAGAGTAGGTAAGGTAAAGTTTATACAGTAATTGGTGTTAAAATACAATTCAATTACACAGAGTGGTAATTGCTCCGTAATAACACGTATGAGGTAATGATACAAAGGCATTAAGGTGCACTTATTTATACAGTGACTAGTGTCATACCACACACTCCACTCAAGTAGAGTTGAACTGACTGGACGCCAAACCAGACAATGACTATTAGTGCATGAGTAGGATCAACTTTACTATACCACTCAGACCGAACCAAAGCCAGACCCCGTACGTACTTTAGTGACGGGGTGGCGGTGCACCGTGAAGGTCTGGAAGAGCTGAGGGCCGTGCCCTACGGTCTCCGGGTGCTGCACGATCACGCGCACCGTGCCTGAGCTCGTGCCGTACGCGATTTCAATCCAGTTCCCGCACACGTCTGTACAAATAAAAACAAATTTGATCAACATTTTTGATTTAGATTCTTGAACGAATTGAAATACTTTTAATAAGAGAGATTATTAAGAGATTCGCTGTTGGCTACCTTGCTATTTTGTGCTCTACAGAGTGACTGTATAATAGCATCAGCAGAATTGTACAGCAGTAGAAAATTTGCGATACAAGAGAATACGGTCGTGTAAATATGTATAACCTTTTGTCTACAAACACATTAACCGTCGTCAAAGACATTCAACTTCAGGATCCTGGTAAAGAGAATTGTCTTTAGTAGACGAAGCGTTGAGACACGGCAATCAGCGTAATATAAATGAAATACTTACGAGTTGTTAACTGAATCAGCCAATCACTGACAGCTTATCAAATTAAACACGCCAATCATAGACGAGAAATCGTCCGCTACATGTACTTAGGCCGCTACATATATACTTAAGCGAGTTTTGATAGAACGTTCTCTGATTACTCCCATCAACAAGGGAAGCACAACTGACTGGTCTTAGGCGTGAGGTAGACGGAGATGGCTGTGATGACGTCATTAGAAGGGTCGTGGTAGAGCTCTGTCACCAGCAGGTCGTTGTCCTTCATGCGCAGCGGGAACTTTTGCATGTCTGCAACCGAAACAACATTACCATTTTAAACGAAAAATCCTAACGTACCATCACTGAAGGTGAATAACTTCCCCACCAGGAGTTGATGAGAATGAGTTTTGGTTGGGGGATGGTATGACAGCAGAAGTATGGTAGGGGCGTGAGTAGTAGTAGTAGTAGTATAAGATTTACTAGCGCTTCAGATAGCTATCTATTTCGCGCCGGAGGTGAGATCTTCAGCTAGGGGCGTGACGGTATGCGTGGTACTGGTACATGCGTGACACACTACATAAGTGTGTCGATGTAAATATAATACAAAGGAGACAGGATATTAAATGTATCTGAACAATTTACCCAAGTGGCATTAAAAACTCGGGAAAGGAAAATTGGCTAAAAAGTGTCGACACGCGAGTTACATTTACGGCGCATAGCTGTATTCAGGATCGCAGCGGTCTGCCGTTCATGAGTTTTTCAGGCGCAAATTACTTCATCATAAAAGTCTACCGTTCTTTTCTTTATTTGCTGTTGGTAGAAGAAGTAGAGCTCTGCTGCACTAATCCTGAGGCCGATTTGTTATACATATATTTCTTATTCATATATTGTTGAAGTTAATTGTCAGATCTCCAATGTTAAGTAGATTCATTTTTACTTTCCTTTGACAGAGTGAAATAGGCTCAAGTTTTCCCGCCTGATAATTTTCGAATTTAAAGACTAGTGCGCACCATTCATATAAATTCTTAGGCATTCGTATTTTGCAGTCACCAGCACATTTGTTTGAGCCATAAAGTATTTAATAGTTTTTTGTTTGTTGAATAACAGTGTAGATTTATAGTCAGTCAAATCCCCAAATTTGTATTTTCATTCGTACTGACGTGCGGAATTTTCTCCCGCAGTTTTACAAGAAGAGAAAGGAGATAACGAACACCGAGTTAGGTACTTCCCTGTCCATTCTTTCCTACCTGGCTAATTTTAAGTGTCTATTGACAATTTAACCAGGACATAGCGAATGTCAAGTCAGACGTAACTAATTTGGAGTTATGAAAAACGATTTTTTGCATTCGGACAAATAATTCAAAGATTATTATCCCACATGGAGTTCATATGAGGTTTCTAATTATTTTCTACGCAATTTAATTGTTATACGAGAGTGCAAATACCGCACCAATATAATATATGGAGCCGTTGGTGCAGCCGAGCAGCAGGAAGGAGCCAGCAGTGTCGAAGGAAGCGATGGGCAAGACGTCCTGCGTCTGCCAGTTACGCGTCATCGCGTGCCACACGCCAATCTTGCCAACGCTTGACAGCCCCACCAGCTGGTACCCGATGAAGAACAGATACTCCACTGCCACGCCCAAGTGGAAGGTTCCTGCACGAATAATTTAAATAAACACAAATGCTTACTTTATTGGTGTTGAAATTGTACTCTACTGCCGTGCCCAAGTGAAAGGTTCCTGCACGAACAATGTTATTGAACAAAAGTGAAAGGTTCCTGCACGAACAATGTTATTGAACAAAAGTGAACGGTTCCTGCACGAACAATGTTATTGAACAAAAGTGAACGGTTCCTGCACGAACAATGTTATTGAACAAAAGTGGAAGGTTCCTGCACAAACAATGTTATTGAACAAAAGTGGAAGGTTCCTGCACGAACAATTTAAATAAACACAAATGCTTACTTCATTGATGTTAACAACATCGTACTCCATAGCGACGCCCAAGAGGTAAGATAATAGAATAGCAATTTTCAATGAAATTAATCATTATTGCCAGAGTAATGAACATAATCTGCATGCACATCTAAAGCAAGGATAAACCTTATAATACAAGTGATGAGATCATTATAATCATAAAAAAAACGAGTTTATGAGAAGTCAAACCAGGCATTTAACTCAAATGTAATCTGTTTTTTTTTTTCTTTTAAAGTACTGGAACCATGACAGGAGGATACGCAAACCCTGCAAGAATTCTATCCATACGTGACCCATCATCCCCAACGCTCCACAGCGTGATGTTGGCCCTCACTAACCCACATCCACGCGTGACCCATCATCCCCAACGCTCCACAGCGTGTAGGCCCTCACTAACCCACATCCACCCGTGACCCATCATCCCCAACGCTCCACAGCGTGATGTAGGCCCTCACTAACCCACATCCACCCGTGACCCGTCATCCCCAACGCTCCACAGCGTGATGTTGGCCCCAAAAGAGATGGCCAGCATCTTGTTGTGGGTGGCAGAGGCGTTAGGTTCAGCCTGGGCCCCGGCAGCGGCGGCCATCTTAGCGTTGATGGCGACGCGCTCGATGAGCTCCTCCTGAGGGGGCGACGTGAAGGCGAGCTGCCAGCCCGTGCTGTCTTTGTTCCTGCCAGCGATAACATTTTTTGAGATAAAATGAATTAAATACTGGTCAAGTATAAATACTTACCATTAAATACAAAATAAATTAAATAATACTACCACATCATCATGTTCTTCTAGATAGTGAAGTCCCAGTCCTGTACACAAGTCTCAGTCCTGTACAGAAGTCCCAGTCCTGTACACAAGTCCCAGTCCTGTACACAAGTCCCAGTCATGTACAAAAGTCCCAGTCAAGTACACAAGTCCTAGTCCTGTACACAAGTCCCAGTCATGTACACAAGTCCCAGTCATGTACAAAAGTCCCAGTCATGTACAGTACATAAGCTCATAAATTCCCAGCTCTGTAAAAATATACTACTACTTGAACACTCAATCTATCGACAAAAATAATAATCAATTCATAAGATAATCAGGCAAACAAAATTATTTGGTAAAACTGCTCTCCCTGCCGCTGCCTCGTTTAGGACAAAATTATTTTTCTCAATTAGGAATATATTCAGTTGAGGTAAATGGAAACGATATAAATTGTAAACCCCCTAACAATTCACAGTAAATATTCACAACGAATCTCTAATTATGAAGCATAGCACTAGGATACAAGAGACAATAATAATGAATAGAAACGATACAACTTGTAAACCCCCTAAAAATTCTCAGTAAATATTCACAATAAATCTCCAATTATGAAGCATAGAACAGGGATACAAGAGAATAGTTTTGAGCGAGTTTTAAATTAGTTTAGGATGAGGGAGAGACACCTTAGGGGAATTACTCACCAGCGGTTGACGGCGCTTCAAGACGCATGAGGGAAGAAGATAATTTAGAGAAATATTTTAATTGAGCAACAATAAGTAGAAAGAAGAGAAAAAAATATAACTCAGTACTCACTGCAGTGAGTGACAGAGAGCGCATTTTATCGTCGACGAAAACGTGAAGTCATGGACGGACAGACAGACAGACGGACATATATAGTGCATTTTTTCCATAAATGAGAAAATGCGCTAAAAACACACGTTCACGTACTAAAGTCAAACTTCACGCACGAAGTTACGCTACTTCAAGGTTATGCAAGCAGCATTTACAAGCTATGTAAAATCAACATTTGAACACAAATATCTCATATACCGGTACAGAGAACTCAATATACAAAAATTTCATTTATCGAAAAAGTGATGAATATTTGAAAGTATTTTTCATCACAAAAGTAATGACTAAATCCATAAGGCTTGAGAAACCCCGGACAATATTACTGCACTCAGACTCTACACTGTAAAGCTACCAGTAGACGAGGCCGAGTAGAAGTAGAAGTAAAAGTAGAGATAGCAGTGAGACTCACCTGTAGCACGTCACGAAGTGGGCGTAGGCGACGAGGATCCAATTGTGATGAGCCTTCACCATCCGCACTCTCAGGGGGTCTACCCAGCACGAGCCTGTAACACGTCACACGTTACACCACACCACAGGACACCATACCACGCCAAACCTCATCACACCACACCACACTACACCACGTCACACCCCGTCGTACCACACTACATTACACCACATCACGCCACATCAGGTCATCCCACACCATGTCACACCACACCACGTCATACCAAACCATGTCACACCACACCAAAGGACACCATACCACACCACGTCACACCACACCCGTTACATCACACCACACCACACCACAGGACACCATACCACACCACGTCACACAACACCACAGGACACCATACCACACCACGTCACACAACACCACAGGATACCATACCACACCACATCGCACCCCAGATACTGCCGGAAGACAAGTCATCTCCCTTTCTACGTATATAATAAAATAAATAATAACCGTAACAACTGCAAAAAATAGAAAACGAATGGAATAAACAGCACAATTTGTAGCCTTGATTGAAAGATAAACAAATTAAACAAACGAAAAAAGCTTACGATTTTCTAACAACAAAGAATCTCTTCCAGCAAACAATCGATCTGAATTCTATTGTTCTACCGGCGAACAATCGATCTGAATTCTATTTTTTTTACCGGCGAACAATCAATCTGAATTCTATTGTTCTACGGGCCAACAATCGATCTAAATTCTACTGTTCTACCGGCGAACAATCGATCTGAATTCTACCGTTCTACCGGCGAACAATCGATCCAAATTCTACCGTTCTACCGGCTTCTGAATTCTACTGTTCTACGGGCGAACAATCGATCTGAATTTTACTGTTCTACGGGCGAACAATCGATCTGAATTCTACTGTTCTACGGGCGAACAATCGATCTGAATTCTACTGTTCTACGGGCGAACAATCGATCTGAATTCTACTGTTCTACAGGCGAAGAATTGATCTGAATTCAACTGTTCTACAGGCGAAGAATCGATCTGAACTCTACTGTTCTACAGGCGAAGAATCGATCTGAATTCAACTGTTCCCCAGGTGAACAATTCATCTGCAGCTCATACCGCTGGTGCCGAGGCTGTTGAGAACTGCCACGTCGATCTTGTAGATCTTGTTGAGGTCCGCGGACGAGTTGCGGGAGTGTTGACGATGATCCCAAGATGGTGTGCGGGAGTGAGACCTGCGACCTGCAGTGAAACATTGTTGTGGGAAGCCCATTTCAGTGATACTGCAAGGAAGTAGGATTTTCCTACTAGGGGTCCTGCAAACCCCCCTCTCCTGAGATGCAATATAATGTGAAATTAAAGTACGAAATTGAAGCAAAAGTATGTATCAATTTCAGTGTTGACACCATAGTAGAGTGCTCACTATTTGATATGCATCACTAACTTAATCATGTCAAAGTTAATGTAACGGATATTTTTTATGGATTTAGTGCACTCCTTAGGTTTATCATGTTAATCTTTTTTTGCTTTTCAGACTGGGTAAAGCAGGCAAACTTGAAAATACCATTATACGAGGTTATACACCCCCGTGCCTCGGTTTTGCGCTTATTCTTCTTCTTCTCTGTTCAATGTAAATACCTGATTCTTCTTGTTGTGTTGTTCAATAAATTGTTAAATAAAAACAAGGAAAAGTCTAATAAAAAGGTGGTTTGGGATGGTGGTAGGGGAGGTGGAGACCATCACCAATTCCTTGTTTTCTTGACACCCTCGCAACAACCACCCTCAGGCCCAAAACATGGCTGGTAGCACGATAAATAGAGTCCTACTACAACATGTATCAACTGACCTGCGACCTGCATCACAGGCTGCAGTATAACACGCATCACCTGACCTGCGACCTGCGTCACAGGCTGCAGTATAACACGCATCACCTGACTCGACCTGCGTCACAGGCTGCAGTATAACACGCATCAACTGACCTTCGACCTGCGTCACAGGCTGCAGTATAACACGCATCAACTGACCACGCATCTCTTCCAATAAATTACGTCCTGGTGAGGTAGGTAATGTCTCTGGTCAACAGGATTGAACTTTCCTACAGATAATATCGTACACGAGCATTAAGTGGCTGACTATCACGAGAAAAATTACTAACTATCTCCTATGAACCAATCCAATAAACTGACTCACAGGCATCAGTGTTAGGAGAACGTCCGTTTCCTGGGTCCACGCTTGCACCTCCAACCTAAAATGGTTCAAATAATGAAAGAATCAATTAGGTGCATGGAAACATTGATTGACAACTTTAACATATAATCTTTCACGAGTTAATGCTGTAAAATGGACAATAAAAGCCAGAAAATAAACCCTCGGGGGATTGGTATTTTATTGCAGCATTTCTGCTCCCACTGACAGCCCGGGTCCGAGGCGGCCCTTAGATGCATGAAGAGGCTCTGATAACATGAAGGGCCTTTTAACCCGTAACTACACAAGCCCGGTTTGTTCTAAACCCGATGGGGTCATAGGTAGCCTTCCCTATGTTCCGAGGACACAGCGGGCAACAGCAGCCTAAGCTGCTGCCCCCACCGTGCCACCCCCGTTAGTCTGAACACACAAACTGGGCCAATTTGTCATGATTGAATCTACCAGGGAAACCCCAACAACACAGCCCCAACGTTTTGTAACTTGATAATGAATGATTGATAGACTCAAAACGTCGTTAACGTAATAAAAGTTTCTATCTGAACCTTGATTTTTGACTTACCATTGCAAACGAGAAATATTGTTCAATATATTAAAAAAAACTAATAAGAAAATTGTCAATAAAATAAACTCTCTGGTCTTCATTGAATCCTGCTTAGAGAAACAAATTCTGTCAACCTATACTAATAGTATAGGTTGTATAGTATATTATTGCTATACATGACTACGTTAAATAAAACTCTCATCCCGTCACTAACATGAGAATTGATCAACTACCCCTAAAGAACAAGTCTTATGAAGGCTACAGAGCTGACAGAACAAGACCTGCAGAGCAGCTTAGCAAGACTTATGAAGGCTACAGAGCTGACAGAACAAGACCTGCAGAGCAGCTTAGCAAGACTTATGACGGCTACAGAGCTGACAGAACAAGACCTGCAGAGGAAGCCTGCAGTCCTGTGATGTGTTGCGTATGGAGGACGCGCGTGATGCAGCAAGGCCTGCTGCAGAGCGAAGGCTGGACTCTGCCACCGTTGTATCTGCACATAATATTCTCTGTAAGTCTCAGATAACTTCACAGATACAGTTAAATATTACTTTTATTTATTTTACCAATGAAATATATTTTTCACAATGACATCAAAATTTTGGGAACATCTGATCATATGGTAATTTCAGTCAAATAACTCAAAGAGCTTGGCCAATTGTAAGAACTGAGCTGCAATCTGCGCAATTCTATTCTACCTCTTTTCATTTTTGTTTTGGTATCCTCTCCCCACGAGGCATGAAAATTGATTTTTGCTACATATGCGTGAGTTTTAAATTACATTTGTATATATTAGCAGGTATTTTTACACGCAAGAAAAGAGCATGAACAGCATCATCAGTCTGGCAGTGCAATGTGCTGCTGTGACACATGGCTTGTTGCAATGTGCCTATTATTGACACTCTACCAAAGCTCGTAGATTATTGAGTGTTTCCTGAAATTGGAAATAATGATCTTAAATAAAGGAGAATTCGTACTAGCACAAATAATCATAGCTTCATCAAAAAGTTTGGGTGTTCTAAAAGTCTCATAAACACTGGAGCACTGACATAAGATTTCCGACACTCAAAGCAATGTTGAAATTAAAAAGATAATAATTCAAAGATTGAACATGTTGACATTGATTGTTCATATGCCAAACTTCCACAGCATGACAGTGCCTAGAACTATTCAAGAAAATGCTATATATGAATACTTTTTGTGTTTTTATAAATAAATACATGTAAATTTCATAATGATTTTGAATTCATCCTGTCTCTTCCAAAACTGCAAAAATTTCCACAATGACAGTAACTTCATGGCTTATATATTAAAATCTATTTAAAAAGGGGCACAATAATATGAGCAATATGCAAATGTAACACTCCGTCCTTTAGCAATACACCGCAAGATACACATATGTACAACTCCATCATCAATATGTTGAATAAATTACTGGAATAGATAAGAACCTTAAGCTGAAATGGAAACTGAATCTTTAAACAGAATAAGTATGAAACTTAACACTAATATCTCACAAGGCAAACTCTATTAATAATTAAGAGAATTTTAAGCTTGCTGCAAAAGGCTGCAAAAAAAAGCAGAAACCTCAATGCTAAAGCTCTTGAGCAATGAACACATAAGTTCTGCAGCAGGGCTCATTTATGATATGTATATTTGAAGATTTTTTATTTCACCCACATTTGTACATTGAGGACCAGCCTAGTGACATCACTTTATAATTTGCCTGATAAGTTAATGGGATCAGTGAACCCTCATTCATGTAGTCAGGAAACATTGTAGATTAATTGATAAACTAGATATTGTTGAAGCTAGAATAAATAATTTTGAAAGTTGAAGCTAGAATAAAAGTTTCATGAATTCAAATCTAATAAAAACAAGATTGATAGACTGACTTGGAGGAGGAGGCAGGTAGCCACAGAAGAGCACATCACCACAGGAGGAGGCTGTCAGGTCCTGGCATAGAGACAGACGCTTCACCAGCCCAGACACTCCGTAGAACTCGGCTTCATGTCTGCAATATGAGTACTTTCCGTGACTACATAATTGTTAAGTAATTGTCATGACTACATAATTGTTAAGTGCTTATCTAGACTACATAAATGTTAATTGCTTGTCTGGACTACATAATTGTTAATTGCTTGTCTAGACTACATAATTGTTAGGTGTTTGTCTCAAGTACATAATTGTTAAGTGCTTATCTAGACTACATAAATGTTAATTGCTTGTCTGGACTACATAATTGTTAATTGCTTGTCTAGACTACATAATTGTTAGGTGTTTGTCTCAAGTACATAATTGTTAAGTGCTTATCTAGACTACATAAATGTTAATTGCTTGTCTGGACTACATAATTGTTAATTGCTTGTCTAGACTACATAATTNAGAGAATGAATTTTGGTAGACATTATAATATGTTGGTAGTGCAGGTGGGGTTATCAAGGCAAAATCAGGGTATTGTACTAAAAAGTCATGTAAGTTTTTGCCTGAAACATTGTAGGCGTGTCCTGGTTCCCACTGAGGGCTATGAGCATTAAAATCTCCTACAATTAGGGAGGATGGTTCTACTTGATTTAGATAATGTTCATATTCATGAAGTGTTATTGCTTTGTTTGGGTTGTATAAGTTAATGATTGTGATTGGATGATTATTCTGCAGGATTATTTTTACTCCCTGTATCTCTAAAGAAGATGGTATGAAAGGCTGCAGAGTAAGGTCTAAATATGATATATCGCTTCTTATAAGAATTGCCAAGCCACCACCCACTGTATCACCTTCCCTATGCTTGTAGATTGGTGTATAGTTAATGAAATTAGGTTCATATTCTGCTGATAACCATGTTTCACATAAGCAGATGAGGTGAGGTTTTGTGCTGTATATGTGGAGTTTCAGGTTACTAAGTTTATTTCTTAAGCTTCTACAGTTCCATTGCATTATTCTTATTTCTTTATTGGAAGGCATTTTGTTAAGGTTTCCTGTGGCTGCAGTTTCTTGTTGGGGTGCTTGCTTCTTTGTTACTATATTTTTCATTTAGGTTTGGGGTTGCTCCTCTTCCTTTTGGGGTGTTGATGGAATGTTTTTCATTTTTTCTTCCTCGGCCAATGATTGGGGAGGGTTCAATGGGTACCTCAATAACTGTAGGCGTTAGTGGGACAGGGTTCTTCAGTGGTCCCGGGCTATGAATTCTACAGATTTTGTGTGGTCTGTTTATTACTTGTGCTCTATTTCTGTCTATTGTGGGTAGTCTGTCTGTAGAGTTACTGAGGTTGATTACTGGTGTCTGCAATTGAGGATCTGTTACCACACAGGTATTTTTGTCATTGAAAGGAGAGGGAGGTATTTTATTTTTAGCTGTGTCTTTTATAGTTCTGCTAGATGTCTTTGGAACTGTTCCATTTTGTGTTAATGTTGTCTGCATAGGGGCAGCAAAGGTTTCCTCTGCAATCCCAGTAAGGCAACCTGAGATATTCAAGTTGTCACTGTTTTGGCAGAAGTTTAAAAGTTTAGTTAAGAGTTCTATCAATTTGGAGATAGAATTTTCTGGAGGACAAATGTCTATGTGGGTTGTTTGGGTAGAAACTGAAATATTCTCTGGTCTCATTTGTATGCCCCAACTTCTGTGTTGGTTAGTCTGAGGTGTGACATCCAAGTGGGGTTGGAAACTCTGTGATGCCCTATTAGTTTTGCTATGGGTTGGGTTTGTGGTAGTGTGTTCTTTGACACGTTTTACAGCATCTCTGTATGAAATCTTGTCAACTGAAGAGGTTGTTTCCACCAGTGCTTCAAATTTCATACGGGGACATCCCCCATAGCTGGCTGTGTGTGCACCTCCACAGTTGCAACATCTCGGTGCTTGAGTTCTAGAGGAAGAGCAGTCCCTAACACTGTGAGGGCCCCCACAAGCAACACAATGGGCTGGACCCCTGCAATCACTAGCATTGTGCCCAAAATTTTGGCATTTGAAACATTGCCATGGCTTACTAACATATGATTCCACTTTGAAACGCTGGTAGCCCAAGTATACAAAGGGAGGGAGAGATTTAGTTGCAAAGATCACTTTGAAAATTGATGTTGGGACCCTATCCCTACCTTTGTGTATTCTTTCTGCTTAGGCGTCACAGTATCATGCCAGTTGTAACTAATGAGTTAGATCCTCATGGACCTCATCTGAGGTCTCACTACCAAAAGGACCCATCACCCCTGTTGACATTACTTGATTGAGTGGGAGACGGCATTTAACCTTCCAAGTCCCAATTTCTGTTGTGGAAAGGAGCTGAGGTATGCATGGTGCAGATGGGTTATGTTTTCCCATGTTAATAATCACAAGTCCTCTACTAATGTTCTTTTGCATTCCCTTTATACCAATTTTACCAAAGTACGAGTTAGCTAAAGCTTTACTGAGAGCTATGTCATTCGCAAAGAATTTTGATACTGGCAGTTCATCTGGAAGAGGCTCCACAACAATTACCAGGTCATGGTTTAGGTTAACATACTATCTGTAGGATCTTCAGATAGATCTGGAGAGCATGCAGGATGGAATTCTAATATTGACGGTTCATATATTATTCCCAGATACACCTACACCAGTTGTTTCGATACAACATTATTTGAGGCAAAAAAATGAACTTCTTATAGGCTTAAATCACGTATATAGGTGTGCTAAGTTTCTATAAGGTAATTCACTTGGAAATGTTGCATGCCAGCAAGGCTGCAGGCGCAGCTTTCACTCTACAATTAAAATTATACAAAGTATTAGTTCGTTAAAGATTTGTCTCTTAATATAACTGCAAATAAGTAAACTTAATACAGTAATTACAGCTACCAAGACTACGCTGTCAAGCAGACTTTTCGATGATGCACACACTAAACACGCAATTCATGGGAGCAAGAGTAAATAGAACAACAAAAGCAGGCGCCCGGCATGCAACTGCAAAAACAAATGACGATCGCGGCAGCGGCAGCACGGATCAAAACGTTAATATAGTCAATGCAAGAGAATGATTAATTATGATATTTCTGATAGATATTTGAAATATTTTCAGAAGCCTAAAACTATAACAAATTATTTCATTACTTTGACATGGTTGATTTCGAAATAAATATTTTAATGCGAATTCATGAAAAACGTTTAAAATAAATTGAATAATGTTCATTCATATCTATAGGTGGGAGTCATTCGAGTAAACAACTACAAATCGATTTATTATCCTTTAAATAAGAATCTTTGCATTGAAACTTCTGGAAGATGTGTCCACCGCAATATATGTACAGTGGTATCAAGAGTCAAAGCCGTCAACTGATCGTTCGATGGCCGCAAATATGTCGCATCGTTCTACCTATTACAGTCAATAGAACCTAAATAAACTCTGTTCATCAAAAGGAGAAAAAGCTTTGTATCAAACATACATGGTAGTAACCGGTCGGACACTTCAGCGGACTCTGCTGCGGACTGGCTTGCGGACTGGAATCAAAACCTAACTTGACGTGCAACTCACCCAGCCATAAATTCATAAATAATGAACGGATTTTATTCAAATTTGAAATATAAGTAGATAACATCTGTAATTTGTGGATGGAATTTTTTCAAATTTTTACATCAAAAACTTTTTTTTATTAATACAGAAAATCTAACTTCATTTTTAACTCACCCAGCCATAATCCATCAATAATGAACAGATTTTATTCATTTGATATATAAGTAGATAACATCTGCAATTTGTGGATGGAATTTTTTCAAATTTTTACATCAATTACTTTTTTCTAATGCCACAAAATACTGAAACTTTATCTGACTAGGACCTAACCTGCGAGGTGAATGTGAAGTTAGGTTTTCCGTATTAATAAAAAGTCATTGATGTAAAAATTTGAAAAAATTCCGTCCACAAATTACAGATGTTATCTACTTATATATCAAATTTGAATAAAATCCGTTCAATATTGATGGATTTATGGCTGGGTGAGTTGAAAATGAAGTTTGGTTTTCCGTATTAATAAAAAAGTTATTGATGTAAAAATTTGAAAAAATTCCGTCCACAAATTACAGATGTTATCTACTTATGTTTCAAATTTGAATAAAATCCGTTCATTATTGATGGATTTATGGCTGGGTGAGTTGAAAATGAAGTTAGGTTTTCTGTATTAATAAAAAAGTTATTGATGTAAAAATTTGAAAAAATTCAGTCCACATATTACAGATGTTATCTACTTATATTTCATATTTGAATAAAATCTATTCATTATTTACGGATTTATGGCTGGGTGAGTTGAAAATGAAGTTAGGTTTTCCGTATTAATAAAAAAGTTATTGATGTAAAAATTTGAAAAAATTCGGATACACGACTAGTGATGTATTGGAGGGAAGAGTTGCCGACTTTTTATCGGTTTTTGAACCACACGCAAGCGAGTTAGAGGAAGTGCAGCTGTCCGGGTGTCCGCAGTTTTTGACGAGCTCAGTGTAAGAGTATGAGTAATTGAGTATCAATTGTCACTTCGGTAGAAGGTGGTAAATTTTTCGATACATTTTCTTTTGTTAACATGATAATACAGCAATCCCTTGATTAATGCGGTTAATAAATCCCCGAGTTTTACCGTGTTAAGCAAAACTGCGCTAATCAAACTTAAGAATATATGGGAATAATTATAATGAATCCTCAAAAATAGCAAAGGAAAGGAAAATTATGTAGTTTGATAAAACTGAGCAGTAGATATGGCAGCGATCTTGACCAGTTGAAGGCTAACGAGTAACTAGCCCTTTACGCACTGAATTATGTTTCGAAAGTGAAAAAACAATCTGAATTGCTTTTCAGATCACGCGCAGTCTTTGTGTTAAACTGGTAGTAGCGATGCGCCTACTCCATTGAACGTCGTTCGAACGAGTTCACAACATGTGACGCTACCGTCACACTCGCGGCTAGACTCCCAAACATGTAATTACTCTTAGTAGAAGCTTTTATTTTCTGTGTGACGAATTCATCACACCAGGGCTTAAAGGGCTAGAGCACCGGCATGGCGCA